GGTTATAGATCTCAAATATAATCTCAAGTGAAAATGGCCTTTTGCGGGTATCGCTACAAACACTTGTTCGCAGTATTAGATACACTTATCTATTATAGAGGATACCAAAAAAAAGAATAATGAACCACTAGGTTGCCATCTCGAAGAAAATTCAAATTGTTTGGACGATATGATAATTTGGCATCTTTGTCTTTATATCATAAATATATTAAAAATAAAAAAAAAATGTTATAGGTACTAGCATATGACTATCGCCCCACTTGTCTTTAATCAGGCTAACATTAAGTGATTTATCGTAAGTACTAAGATTTATGGCTGCTAAAATTGTTGTGACTGTTACAAATTATTGCAATTAAATCACAAACTAATCAAATTCTCAATTCTGTGCCGCGTTTTCATTTTGCTGCTATAAGCTATTTAACGTTGGCAGTCATTACATATATAAACAACGCAGCTGTACATATCATTTGATACTTCGGGCAGCATAACACGAGTACACAAGAGATATTCAACAAGTGTAGGTCATTATTACTGTCTCTGGTACAAGACGTTTGCTGAATAATATTATAATAAACATGTTCCCTTCTTCTGTAAGTACGTAAACAAACTGATTTTTTACAATCGTTTATGCACGTATAAGTCAGCGACATGTAGGTGTGATGCCTACGTGACCAAACAATCTCGTAACTTTTTTACGCAAGGAATATTGTAAATTGTATTTGAATCGTTGCGAATATATTAGTGATAGTAAAATTAATTCATCGAACTCATTCATTGATACGTCTGCGACACACATGTTCCACAATGGGAATTGCGCAATTCAATCGTTTTATGCAACGATGAAGTTTTCTAATTAGAAATTGATCATTTGAGAAGTTGAGTAGCGAGAAATTTTTAAAGAATAATTATGGAAAAAAGTAATCCTATATAGAGTTAAAGTCATCTGGTATATGTTGGAAAACAAGCCAGTTATAATGCAAGTGTTCATTTTGGACAATATAACCGGGTCACCACATGTAGTTTTACCATACAATGAATTTGTAAGAAACGTGATAAAAACTGCCATCATAATTTTTTTTCAAAAAATCTCTTCAGCTTAGCTATATACACTCATTTTTTAAATCGTATGGACAAATTCATGATTCCTGGCAATAAATACTTAAAAAACCAAAAATAGTACCAATTACAAATAATAAAAATTGTATGAAGAAATTTAGGATTATTGATATTGATACCTTTTATGATGACTAAACATATTTGAGTTGTCTTGCTTCGTCAACAAAATTGTCAATCTTAAAATTTAGTGTTTGATTAGCACTTAGGTACTAACATTAAAAGATCAGCTTCCAAACCTGGGTTTACCAAGAGAACGAGATATTACATCTATGGAATTACACCTAAATTATCATATACCTCCACCATAATTGGACAATATTATTCCTATCATTATGCTCTACATTTATTGCTCTACAAGGACTGTATTTTTAAATGACTAAATACTAGCTACTAAAAATCATTACATGTGCATAGTTTATCATCTGCTGGAAATAAGCCAACCAATGTAAGCCTTATTCTAATTACCAAGATATGTTCAACTTCGAGAAAGCTTAAGAATCTCAGACATGTTTATATTTATGCAACCGAACATTTGATTTGATTTCATTCAATCTCTAATTTTAGTCTCGTCCTCATAATAAAATTTAATACTTTCTCGGTTTGTACGACCGAGTAGGTGCGTTTGCGCGGGTCGGTTAGTGGGCGCCCCTGGTTTTGCCTCCGCGGTCTCAAAAACCGTACAAGCACTTGTGAAAAAACCATACTTCGCCTATATTAATTTATGTAAGGCAGCTGATCACTTTCTCTTCTAGTTGAGCACATAATGATAAAAGTACTTTGAGCAAAAGAAATAAAAGTGAGATAACTATGTGAGGTAAGTTGATCATTGGGACAAAATCGAGGAGCACTTTGCTACGAGAAAATTGGAATAACTAATCGCTGATGCCTAGTTTGAATCCTGTAGACGAAATAGATGAGATAAATGAAGTTAAGAGTAAGGATGATGATCTAGAAAGGACAACAACGAAAATAAAAATTATTCTAAATAAATTAAGAGTGAAAACAATTATTTCAACGTTTCCACAGTTTCTTAGCAGCAATCAGTTTTATCTGATACCTAGTATTTCGCTTGTGGTAGTATACCAGCAGTCGACAACTCTTTTTGTGTGTGACTATATATATAAATAATAAATATCTAATAGTGTTAGCGTGTGTGATGTAGCAGTACCTATAAAAGACGATTTTCACTTCAGATTATAGGGCTAATTGTCCGACAAAATAAAATTGTTATTCTATATTACTGGTTCATATTGATATTGGTTGGTAGTAACAAACTGCCATAAAGTTATGCATTTTTTATGCGACAGGCGTTTTACACACGTACCTCCTCAGTAATGAGATTGGAAATTTCTCAATTTACTCATAATGTGCATAATTAAAAATAAATCGTTCAACTTCATCCAAGATGGTTCTATCTGGTTGGAATTAAACGATATTTAAAAATGATCAAATGGGGTTACAAGGAATATAATGGATCGCGGCTCGCAATCAGACAGGAAGCGTTTACCAAGAATTACCGTACCCCAGTCTGATGGTTCTCCGAACAAAGAAAAAAAGATATAGCGTATAACAACAAGAAGAAATCAGATCTGAGAAGGGATCCGTTTAATTATATGTTACCAAGATATTCGAATGTGGAACCAGCGAGACGAACAGACTGCACGGGAGAAATAAAAAACAAAACATATAGGCCATACCGTGGAGTTTACAACTTAAGTGTATTTATGATGAATGAGTGCGATTTAAAAATAATTTATAAAAAAAAATCCGCAACTGTTGTGTTCATCATAAATTGCTTTAAGACACTCTGATAGATTTTTGAAAACAGATTGGCTATATTATTATTCACGTTGCTGACCCACGGATATTAAATCACGTACCTTGGCTTGGCAGCCATAATCAAGCCTCCCAGCAATTTATAATATACAATGTAGCTATCAAATGATGATTTCGGGTTTAAATATATATAATATATGACTTCCGATCGAAATTGATTGAGACTACTGTATTTGCCATGTTTTTTAAAGCAAAAAAACACTGAATTGATGTTTTGCTTCTAGGTAGTAATGATTTTGATATTAGTCTTTTTTGCGAACATATATAGGAAATATCATCAATGACAAGCACGTCCACATAAAAATTAGCGTTGAATATTTCATGATTTTTTTTTTAATTTCTTTATCTTTTTTTAAAAATTTATGATTTTATGATAAAAGTCTTTGTCTTCGACATCTCACGAAAAAATCATAAAATTAAATTAATTTCTCATAAACTGAAATTGTACTAAAATTAAAAGCGTAAAATTCTTTGATAATTAAAAAATATGTTATTGGAGATATAAATTTAAATGATGTATCCTTTATCTATGTTCAAATTAAGAATAATATCTGGCAAGAAATTTAAAACGAAATTATTAAATATAAAAAACCTAAACGAAAATAACAGTAACAACCTAACAAAAACAGTAAATTATTAACGTCTGAAACTAATGGCTTCAGGATAATCAACGAGGCTATCTCAAAACGATATTTTTACTTTAATATTTTTTATATGTGAACACGTACCAGGTACAATGTATAATTAAAAATTATAACAATTTTATAATAGCTGGTTCTGACTGTTTTGTGTATAGTGATTAATTGTATACCCTTCGGAGATTCAGGTAGCTGGCAGGTTATTAGAATTGGACTAAGACTTTAAAGCAGAGGCAGTCAATTAATTTTAGAGTTTTTTATACTAAGTAAAAAATTAACTATTTGTAGAATGAGAGTGTTGTTAAACAAATGATTTAAATTATGTGAAAAAGTACTCTAAAAATCAGGTTGAATAAATATACTCACTGAAAAGTATTTATAAATAAATAAATAATAAATTATTTAACCTTAAATGGCTTTCTTAGTAATAATTTCATGAAATCATCAAATTACATGGATAGCAAGGTTTAGGTTCTGTATATCATATATACATTGAAATCAAATATGAAAGTTGTACGAATTTGTAAAAAGCTCTAGAAGTCTCAATGATTTGATGATTTTTCCCAAAAAAAGTTATTTGATTTCATTATTACGAATGAAGATGAAAATTGTCAGTCAATAAGTTCTTGATTTTTCATACTAATTATAAGTTTAAAAATTAAGTACTTGCAGTATGAGTGTGTTGTTACACAAATACTCTATAATGTGAAACAAAAATACCTATTCTAGAAATAATAAGAAATAAATCCAAAATTCTTTGAAAAATAATAAGAAGAAATGAAAATAAATAATAATTGATTAGATTTAAATAATTCTCTTAGAGATGAATTTCAAAGTTACATAAATTACAATTCAAATATAGTTATATACGATGTTTGTAATAAACCCTAAAAGTTACCGTAATCGATTTTTTACGGATTTTTGGACCACTCCTCCCTCGTGGTGATATTCAAAATTACCCCCACTTCTCAAACCAAACATCACTTGTATTTTTAGTTACGAGAAAAATAGTAAATTTTTGTAATTTTTTTTGAAAATGTTAGATTTTCAAGTAAAAATTTAATACACGTGATATCTTACTATACTTTGAATATCGATTGAAGTTTATTTTTAACAAGAATGAAAAATTAGATTAATGAATATTTTTTAGAAATGAAAAGGTGTAGCAAAAATCTTATATAAAGCATTATTCCATTATTGCATTACTAATGCAACATGCAAATATATTCTGATTGAAAAACCACTAACGTATGTAATCGTAAGAAGTAAAGATAGTTTGACAAAGAAATTTCAATCCGGTTTGTTTCAGTTTTAAACGAAAAAAGTATATAAACTATATAAGCATATATAAAATTCAATCAATAACGAATAAATTAATGTGATAATAATCGTTTCAATATGTTTATTTAGCGTTCGGAAGCAGATCTTCCCGAGTGCCGAGCGCGTGCCGTCTGCAATAAAGTCGACCTGTACGACAGCGGCGCGCCGTGGGTCGAGCGCCAGTGCCGCTGCGTGGCTCCCGACGGCGGCGAAGCCCCCTGCCCCAGTACGGCAAACGCCGAAGATGGACATACGCTCGTAGATAAAACGAGGCACTATAAACTTTGCGAGCCCATCAAGAGGTTGCCAAAATGCAGGTAAATAGAAATAATTGAAGAGAATGAAATCGTTTGAAAATGTCCAACAAAGTATTCGCATACTTAGCTTGTAGTGGAAACTGGGTACGGTTGTGCCAGGGTACACTAGTGATAGTCCTCGTAACAGATGAACTATACTGAGTTTGAGATAGGGTCCAAAGGGAGAAAAGGTACCTAGTATGTTATTTCGAACAAATTCTCTATATTAACATAAGCTGTAAACCGCATTGCTTTTAAAAAGTCGAAGTTATGTTTGTTCGATTCCTTTTAATACTATTTTAATAGCGTTGATGATTTAGTTCAGTATTAACGATGAGTTGTTTTCAAAAGTGTGGGTTGGGTTCGGTTGTGACAAATTTTGTCGGTATACAGAGAGATCACTTTGTTTGTTATTTTGCTGTAAGTTGAACATTAGTAGTTAATTACCAGTAATTAGTTTTTGCGTAGATAACTTAACTCAAGGAAACAACTTAAAATTTCATACAAGGAAAAAAAGATTTCACAAAGATCTATTAAAAACTTTGTCTAAAAAATTATGTCTTGTTATATATTGTTATATTATACTTATAAACTTTGTTTGAATGATTGTTACATATTTCTGACAATGAAAATCGTTAATAATCATTCTGGTTTTTATAGCTATTGTTTTTTACCATAATTTTATGTCTGTCACAACCGTCCTGGGCTTGGGGACTCTTTTCGATTTTATGACTAATCCATCGTATTTAAGGACAGGACTTTAGCATATCCACATAGACAAATGTTCAAATTACTTTTTAATTTATTTTTCTCCCAGCCAGTAGGTAAATCAACAAAATTATTTCTGATCAAAAGAAAAGTGCCAGTTTTCCCTACTATAATAAATCTTTCAATTAGATTAAATATTATATTAATATACACTCAATACGCAACAAAAACGAAAAAAATTATGGCAATAAATAGCAGGGATATCAAATGTGAGAAATACCAAACGTTGACAAACCTGATGACAAACTAAAGTGATCAACGGCTACCTAATTGTATGTCTAATATGAATCAAAAAGGTTGAAAGTAAAGCTGTGTTAAATGAACTGTATCTTATTTCCAATTATTTCTTCTCGCATATAAAATATCTCTATATAAAAATTATGACATAATTTATACACTAATAATCATATGCGATATAAAACAATTTGATGTCAACGCATTAGCTGCTGTGGAATGTTAATGTAGGCGCCGCGCCAACTTTTGTTATCGGTTGCTGATACTAATAATTAATTCATATTCGATAAATACTATCGAATAATTGCCCAATACCTGTTTTTGAAATATTTCACCATATTATTACAGCTATGGTTGAGCAATATTATTTGAACGATGCTACTATAACATAGAGTTCAGAGAAGGCATTATGTTGTAAATGATAAACGTCATAAGTAATTTTTAATGTAAACAAAATGCAGATTGCATATTAATACGAATGACTTATTACATATTTCTGATGCCCTCGATACCAGCTTGGGGGCGGAGGGGGGTTGCATTATTTACGCGATGTTTCAGGGCGGAGGGGGGGTTTCACAAAAAAATACGGAATATCACGTGGGGGGAGGAATAGGTATAGTAAAATATCACTTGTATTTATTTTTTACCTGATTTTTTAAGAAAAAAACAATACACTGCAACCCTTTGGATCATGCAACAATTACGCGGAATCCATCTGCAAAAGACGTATAAACAAGAGTAGATATAGTAAAGATACACACAATTCTGCCACTTCTCCATGACGAGTATATTAGTCAATCACAGTTAATCTTTCTTAGTTATTGATTTCTAAGTATTATTCATTTATGGAAAATGTACGTCGGTATGTATTCCTAACGATGTAATAACAGTTAATGATTTTCGCAGATATTTCCGGGACACCACATGGACACTGACGACGTTACCGGAAGCAAATGCAACGGAACAAGTCGTGCACTGTCATTGTCCGCGCAACGCGGTCACCTATCTCATCAAGAGGCAGGCGTACAAAACGGCCAATGGCCAAACGAGCTATCAATATTCCTTCGCCTGCTCGCCACAAAGTGTAAGTATTTAGATAAATAAACATATAAGTAATATATATACACTAATAGTAATCAATATATGATAATATAAATATTACTAATTGTAAGTGAAGCTTTGATATTTAATTTAGAGCCTATAGTAATATTTTGCATAGGAAGTAAATAAAGAGTGTACGCTAGTCACACGTGTGAGTGTTAAGCAAAATATATAATTTCACAATTTATTACACAATATTTTTCATATTCGCATTTATTTTTTTACAAAAAAAAAACAAAAATATGATAAGTGAGGTAAGAAAAGTATTACGCATACGCATGATTTGCAAACTAGTTGGTGTTAATATGCTTCTAAATTGGAGATAGATTTAAACAAGTAAGATCGCCCGCAATTAGTGTTAAACTAGAATTTTCTTAAAATGAACATTTTCGAAAAGATAGAAAGAAGAAAAATAATAATAGTGTAAATTCTTAAACGGATTTCCGCAGTGCACAAATAAATGATCCGTGTCGATTTCTAATGCGATTTTCTACTATACTATACATCACATCATATGTTGTTTCTTAAATACTTGCTTAGAAAAAGATTATAAAAATATCGCAATATCAAGCATTCGACACGATATATTAAAATAATTTAAGAAATAAATAATAATAATAATAAATGGTTGTCTGTCCGAGGGCAGGTCCATAGAGTAAGAGCACCATATATGTATATATATATATGCAATAGGTTAACACATAGCCATCTGTGAGAAAATCTCATAAGTTACTAGTTCCACTTGGAATCTAGTCGGAATTCAAACCACGTACTATTCTATACACGATTCCAATAAGATTGCGGAGATGGCGACATTGGAATTTGATTTACAAGGGTTTGTTATTATTGGAATTAACTTTTTTTAAATCATTTAAAATAAAATTATAAATATATTATCAAAATAATTAAAAATAATTAAATATAATTATGTAAACAATTATTCAAAAATTAAATATGACCTATCATAAGGAAACGTCCATTGATCACGAGATCGATTTTTTAAGGATTTTTGAACAGTATTTTATTCAAATGTAAAGAAGGTTTAAAATAATGATATTTTTTAACACGTTAATCGCCACGATGATATAAAAAAAAAATTCACATGGGCCTTGGTAACTTTATTAAATAATTTAATTAAAAATGTATCAAGAAAACTAAATGCATCAAAGACATTTGCCAATATCCCTCGAAAAACACTATTTTTATGTTACACATATTTGACCGACATGACTCTATATTCGAAAAACTAGTAACCACTAGTAACCAGTAACCGGAATTCTCAATAATTTTACTAATGAGCCGATTCTGCCGCACGACAGACCAATGCTATGGCAAGGCCATTTATGAAAAACTTCCCATACTAAATATTGACAAAAGCCACGATGTCAGGCGTTTTACTCGGGTTGCGGATGGAAAACCTAGCCTAGAAGCCACAGAAATGTCAAAACAACTATCATAGATAACAGGGTCTTTCTGGCCCAGCTTCATAACATAGAAGTGACGTTGCAGTTTATGTGTAAAAGGCCTAAATGTACAGCAAATACATGACATTTTGACACTATTTAGTATAATTCAGTAGAATAATGTATGGATATTGGAGCGTAACATGGCCTTGCCATAACGTTCCGTTGAGCGACAGAATCGGCCCATAGGAGTAAAAAATCTTAAAGAAACAATTACCTTCTGAATGTCGTCTATAGGCGACACTTGTACAAAGACACTTGTACGAAGTCGTCAGGCAGTTGTAGTCTAAAAGCGACAGTGTTAAACAATATTTATCAAAATAAATAATTTAACTAATTAATATTTTTTCTATTCCAGAGATTACGATGCCAACGTAAAGAGCCTTGCCGACTATTCACTGTCCGCAAAAGGCAAGAATTCCTCGAAGAAGTAAACAGTAGCACCCTGTGCCAATGCCCGCGAGACCATCATTGTCCCCGACACCACACGGACCCGGGTTCGATATCGGGCAAAAGCTACACCGAAGAATCAATACGCACGTATTCAGGCTATTGTATGCCCAGCTAGATTACCAATGAAAACGCAATCTTAAGTTCCCTTAGTACGAATTTCGAAATGTTATATTTATAAAAGTCTACTTACTAACGTAAAATCGAATCATGAATAATATAAGTTATTATTTTTCAAAAATCGATTCGATACTATTGATTTTAATAACATCGCCAAAAACGTAATTCATTCCACAAAGTGTAATATTTGTTAGATGCGTAATGTTTCAGTCAATTTTAAATAGTTTAAGATGTTAAATGTATATTTATGTATTTGCTTTGATTCTGAATGCTTGATGGTTCATATGCATGTGCACATAGATTATATAATTAAGGATTCTGTTAAAATGTACTCATAAGGAATGGTAGAGAGCTCGGCCTCTACATTCGATACAAAAATTAGTTGATTTGTATATAAAATAGATATATAAAATTTTAATGATATAATATATATGAAAAACTTCTTAATAACTTTTCATGCCATTGATTATAAATATTAATTTAAAAAGCAATCATTTTAAACTCAGTATAGTAGATTGTTTTCGATTAGGTTGGAGTAGTTTCAAAGCAATTTTTTGTAAAATTATTATTGTAATCGCTTACATTAATAGTTACTTAATTCGCTATCCTAATCGACAACAATGTTGAAGTTCAGCAAAAAAGTATGATTTACTAATTTGAGACAATTGAATTATTTAAAGATTGCTGCTGATATAAATTAACACAAGTAGCAGATAAATAAAATTTAATTTCTATTGGTAATTTTTGAAAACCAATCTCAAATTTGCTTAAAATGAATAAATTATCTTCGCTGGACTTTATAACATAGCAATTTAAGTTAAGGCATAAAGAAATTATCAATAATATAATATTGCGATGTATGTAATCATGTAAATAATTTATAGCTCCTAAAGTTTTATATATAAAGTTATTTAAAACACAGACGAATGCCATGAATTTATCACAAATAAAATATAATTTTATTAAATGAGACGACAAATGTTAATATTGATTGTATTATAAACGTCTTCCAATGTAATTCCATATAATAATTGTTATATTATTTATTAAACAAGTTTAAATTAAAAACAATGCTTTTATTTACTAGTGCTAGTTACGAATAAGTAATTGAGTATGAATATAAAGTTAATTGTTATATTATTGAAGAAGTACTTAACTTTCCAAATTTGCAAGCGATTTCATTATTGAAATTTTCATTGAAAAACGAATTTTTAAATTTTATCCAGTAAAAATTACATTTGAACATTCTTAGATATTTATATATTTTGTTTCAAATGATGATTTATTGATATACTACAGTTGATTACAGTAATTGCATTAGTCAAATAATTAAAATTAGTTTTAAGTTGGGTTATTTGCAACCTCAATATTTCATTGCTTTCAATTTAAGGTTCATTTTAACGATTTTTTTTAAAAGATGAAAAAAATTCCTTATTACCAGGTTAAATCAAGGCAAAACTTACAACAGATACAGTTCTCTTTAATTCAGCAAGAAATAAACTTATATATTAATCCTTCTCGAAAAGATAAACTCTTCAATCTCAAGTAATTTGAACCCTTTCCACTCGGATGCCGCCGCTCCGGACAAAATACATATTAATTTCGAAATTCAATAGCGGAAAGGGTTAACAAAAATTTATACACAGAAATATGTATAAGACATCATTTAGCAGGACATTATATTGCAAACCCCTCTTAAAAATTCAAGAAAGATTTGGAAAACATCAATATCAGTTGAAAATAGGATATAGTTGTGAAAGTAAAGCGTTGCCTTATATTTTACAAATCCAGGTATTTAGATTACTTTTAGACGTCAATTATTCAGATACAAAACATGATAATACTTCTATGTAATCATATAAAATACGTTAGATATAATCACATTAAACAAACTAGGACAACACGTTGTAATTTTGCTGATTTTATCCCAAGTATACAGATGTAAATAATGACCAATCTCAGTTGTATGAAATTTATTGATGAAGCCAGAAGATTTAATGATTTACCAACTATTCGCAAGAAACTCAAATTTTAATGCCCGTAAACTCCCATATCAGTAGCGTACAAAGAAAGCTTTCAAGATGCAATTTAATAAGCCATTTCAGATGAAATTAAAAGCTTTACAGAATTATCTACAATACAATTATTACAAATAAATACAATAAAGTAGATAGACAATCATGCCTTTACAAAACCAATCTTCTATTACTATCAAAACGTGGTAAAACAGTTTCATAAAATCATCCTATCTCTACAAAGTTGCCTAAGACTCTGATGAAGTTCATAATGTTAAATTGCAAAACGTAAGCAATTCTGCTAGTTATTACTAATAAATTTGTGCGCGATTACGGTAGTTAGGTTCATAGTTTAAAGCTGTAATAAATCAGATACCAGATCGATTACACCAGGAACGCAAAATAAAGCCAGGTCAAAGGTTTTACGGCCGCGATTTAGAGATGGTGATGCGTTGAAGAGTTACGATGAAGATGAAGACTGCAATTATGTGAAGATTCGATAATCTAGAATCTAGATTTTAGTTATAAGAAGTATTTATTTTAGGATTCGGTCAAGAGAAGTAAACATTGGAAGCATTGGAAACAATTAAACTCGTTCAAACCAATAATAAGGCCATATATTATTTATACGAATGTGCAAAAAATCAGCATTTTGAGAGAACGTAGCATCCGATTACAATGATTCAAAAAACATTTAATTCGCATTGACGGGGAACATAGTTAGTAGTTAGTAGACGTGCTTGACAAAGGCAGGTTCAGAGGTTTCGGAGATACAAAGCCAAATGTGCAAAAAATATCAGTTTTTAAGAGAATGGAGCATGGGATTAGAATGATTCAAAAAGCTTGATCAGTTTTTGGAAAAGATTGATCCAGCAGTTTTATAATTTTCAAAATTTTGGTTTGTGAGATATCGGTGGAATTGAATAAGAATAAAGATAATCAACAGTTTTTTTTATAAACATTTTAAAATTGCACAAGAACGCTTACATAACAAATGCATGTACAAATGCATAAAAGTGGCATTTAGTAGTATATCGTAGTTATAAGTTGGCACAAAATGTGTAGAAAAATACTTAGTCATGAATACGATTTACGGATTGCATTACATATTAAATGCAACATTCAATATAAATTCAAATTATATTAAGTTTTCTACTCGTAAAGGCCGATTAACATGAAAATCAAATAGTCTTGTAAATGTAAAAAAAGTGATTTGATGTACATATATCATAATAAAATTAAAAACGGATAATAAAAGAAACAACTGAATTCAATTTACAATATAAAAAATTCTCACTTTTTACGATTTAATCTTATCACAATCTAATTTTCATTTAGATAAAAGATAATTAAGGTGACCATACGTCCCGGTTTGGTACCTTGTATCCCGGATTTAGATGTTATGTACCGGATTATTCCGGGTTTCCAAAAAGTATAGGTATAAATTTTATATTTGCAATTACTCGATAATAACATTACAATAATCCGTAAAAATTTGATAATGATATATACAACGAGTATGCAGTATATGAAACAAAATGTTATATGAATAAGAAAATTGCCGAATGCAAAGTTCCAAAAGGCAATTAAAATATTCGCTTACATTAATAATTTCGTACTTTCATTATCAATTTTACGAAAATTACTAAAAATTATGAAAACAAACTTTTTAAACGTGTTGCACAAGTGCTAAAATTTTTTACTAAAGTTATTTATAAAGAAAAAATATATGATATTATATAGCAAATAATAAAATAATGAAGTCCTACTTGAAGTCAGTAATTCTGATTAAAAAAACATAAAAAACTGATTTTAAATCATAATTAAGATATAGTCCTGGATTAGCAAAACAGAGTTGCCGTCCCGGTTTAAACTTTAAAAAATATGGTCACCTTAAAGATAATATAAAAAATATAAAAGTATTGCATTCGAGAATAAAAATTTGTTGTTTATATTATTGATTGAATATAATTTTATTACTATTATTAATAGCCGTAATAGCCAACTTATTACTATACTGTATGTGGACTGAAATAAACAATAAATCACAATATTTCTAATAGAAAGGTGAATATATTTACATTGCAGCAATGCTCCAAAAGGCTCTATTTACTGGATATAATATTTGAGATCGTTAAAGTCAAGTGCAAATCTGATATCACTACTGTTTGATATCAGGCTGGCCACTGTGGATAACCTTGGAATCATTGGTCTCTATATAACGTTTTATTGCTAGCTCAGTATATGTTCTTAATACGGAAAAAAATTAATACTGTAAATTTGAAGAATAACAGATTTTGCAAGAATCTCATAGCATTTGTCTCAGAGTAAACATTTTTTATCCAATGTCGAATATCCGACGAAATTGTCATCGAAGGTCAATTGTTAGTATGGGATTGAAAAATTGACTATAAAATGATGCCCATAAAACGTTAATTTAATTTTTGGAATTGAAGTCGAAATAAAAATAATCCGTGTCGGCAGGAACATTGTCATGTCGATGGTATATAGTAAACGCAAAACCGTGGAAATGTAAGTGATTAATAACTTTAACAAATCTTTAAATTAACTAGATTTACTAAAGGAGTTGAAAATTACCGTAATAACTCAAGTTGAGGAGCTTTGATTATTGTAAGACCTTTTTTAGAAACCAATGAAGGAATAGCTATATGTCCTCGTTGAAATATAGATCAAAAACACTTTGAACAACATTCGTGTGTTGTAGAGAAAATTTTGTAATTGTAGCAACTTTGTAACAAATACCACTTGCATACGATACTGGCGCTAGTATAGATTGTCTTCCACAAAAATATGCCGGGTGCCACTCATTGATACTGTATATTAATATTTGAAACAAAAAGGCTTTCGAGAAGGCCCGTCAACCAACAGGAACAGTGAAAAGCTTTCTAATGAACAAATTCCATTCAAAATATTAGTTTTGCTTCCAATCTTGTTTTCATGTTCTACTGACATCCTCATATTT